TATGTGATAACGTGCTTGGGAATTGTTGTTGTGTATGATGTTAATATATGTTTTATGATATGTTAGCATTATGATGAATTGTGGAAATTATATGCTCTTGATATAATTGACAATAAAATGGTAAAATTGCTCAATTGGCATTCATCGCATATTGGGCACGATGTTGTCATCACATTCATGGGCATTGGGCATGAGTGTGGGTGTGTGGGTGTGCAAGGTTCAATCAAACACCATATATGGTGGATGATGGGTGGGCTCGAAAAAAGTTAGAATGATGTTCCGATTGAGTCGCACGATTGCATAGAAAAACTTGTGTCGGGTATAGCAAGAAGGGTTAGACTCTCCCTTGGGTGCAAGACCCGACTACTGGTTTATACACTTCCGTCGGTGCAAGTCCAAAAAAGTGTATCGGTGTGCGAAGCCGGCGGTGCGACACCAAAATCCTGCTATCCAACAAAGACACATGATTTTATTTATTTAAAATTGTCATTCGGTGTGTAACACCAATGGCGGGGGCTTGGAAGTGCCCATTTTTCATACACTGGCGTTGCATTGTCTGGTGGGAGCCGATGAGGGCTCGGGTTAGAGTGCATGAGTGAGTTTTATCTCATATCATGGCATGACTTGATATATTCCAACATTGAATGAATGTTCTTGTTTGGACTATAGTGAATTGTTGAATGTTGCATGTAGACCTTTTATATACACTTAGGTTGGGGAGTAGTTTCTTTAGGAGATAATCTATTGAGCGTGACTCACTTTTTATGGGACAACAATTTCAGGTGCGGGGTTTATACCGGCGGACGGCTCCCATTTCAAGCCTCGAGGATGAAGAAAGCCGACTTGTGGCTTTTATTGTTCATTTTGTAAAACCTTTATGAAAATCCCATTTTGATGTGTAAATATATGGAATTGTATGTAATAGAACTTGTAAGTATCAAGTTTATGTGAAAAAAAAGTCTATTAAACTTGAATTGGATGGTTGTGGAATGGATTGGGTTGGTTTGGAAATGAAAAGCAGGTGAACACAGGCAATTCTGGGCAAAACCTACCGGTAGAACTTAAACCTACTGGTAGAACTTTTCTAGTGGACAAAACCTACCAGTAGCTTTTCCAAAAATCTGATATTTTAATAAAACTTTTCCAGTGGATCAAACCTACCGCTAGGTTCATGCAAACCTACCGATAGATCTTTCAAAAATCTGAAATTTTAAAAGTGCTTTGACAAATTTTTGGGCTATGCGTTCCCTCATTTAAAAAGTGTAAATAGACTCTATTGGGGTATAACTTGAGGTATATTGGACCTCGGATGGTTCAATTGAATTAAAAGTATAAAGGTTGTGGGTTTTTGTCATCCCGACAAAGGGGATGTGATATTGTGGTGTCGGGTTAAGCGGCATCTACGGGTGTTTCTACTGGTTGATGGGTGATCAACAGTTTGACAAAGGACCCTGATTTTAAGGGCATCATAGTACTGGCTTTCATGATCAGCATATTGGCTTTCTCCGTCTTCATTCTCTTGCACAGGTAAGTGTGAAGGGGGCACACGTAAGCTCCCTGCGCACTGAAGCGGAGCTGCTAGGTGAAGGGCCCCATGGGCTACCTGGCGCCTAGAAGGGATGGGTTGCTACTCTTCTCCGGTTGGAGGGAGTGGTACTCCTCCTACAGGGTGAGGGGCGATGCCTCCCTTGGCGGGCATCAGTTGAATGATCTGCTAATTTTCTTTTACTAGCAGTTGCATAGTCTATAAGAGTTGTTGTTGTTGTCCAATCATAGTAACAGATGGTTTCAATGGTGCAAGGGGAGGTAGAGCCTCTTCCTGGTGAGTCGGGTTTTTGTCCTCCGGTTGTTGACTCATCAATCTGGTAGTGGCCTTGGAGCATTCTGGCCAAGGGCCCCATGGTTAGGGGCTTCCTAACACCCAGAAGGAATGGGTTGCTGCTTCTCTCTTGTTGGAGCGAGTGGTACTCCTCCTATAGGGTGAGGGGCAGCGACTCCCTGGGCGAGCATCAATTGAATGATCTGTTGATTTTATTTTACCAGCGGTTGCATAGTCTGTAAGAGTTGTTGCTGTTGTCCAGTCGTAGTAGCAGATGGTTCCGAGGGTGCAAGGGGAGGTGGAGCCTCCTCCCGATGAGCTGAGTTGTTGTCTCTTGACTGTTGACTCATTAATCTGGTAATGATTGCCATGGATTGAAAGAAAGTAGGAAACTAGTTGTTTCCCACAGACGACGGCAAACTAATGATGAACAAATCAGTATTGCACAAAATAAATAGTCAAGGATGTGTACGGATGCAATCAATAAGCAGTAAACAATCAATTAATAATAAAGCTGTAAATAAAGAAACAACACAGTGATTTACAGTGGTTCGTTCCAGGTGACCTACTCCACTCTCGGGAACGGCAACGATGATGTGAGTCTTCTATTAATGAATGAAATTGTCGGAGAGAGTATTCTCCAGGAGTATTACAATGCTTTTAGGGAAGAGAGAGAGAGAGAGTGCAATGTGTGTAGGGAAGTGTAGTATGTGTAGGGATCTCATGGTGTAGAGACCTCAAAAGGTGATGTGATGATGTCTCTCCTTGTGGAGAGAGCTTGCATTATATAGGTTTACAAAGGCAGTGAGGCGGTGACGTGAGAGAGAGGCCTTCCACTATTTTGGTAGGTACAATTATGGCAAGATTAGATCTCTGCATCCCGATATTCTTTCCCTCGTGTTCCTATTCCGTTGAAAGAAGATCCTAAGTTTCGATGGAGTTGAGTTGGAGAGACCAAGTGAGGAGAGAGACCATTGAGGCGATACTCATATGAGAAGGGAAGAGCATGGCATGGAGGAGAGCAGGGGTCCCCTTGGGGTGCCCCCTTGGGCAGCACCCCATGGGGTCTTCTTCGAGCACTGGTCTCTTGGTCTTCCTTTGGGACTGTTGTCTTGGGCTCCTTATGGGCTTGATGACTTGGGCTTCAAGACGATGTGGGCCTCTCTTGATTCGTTGGGTCTGGCCCAGTTAACTTCAGTTTCATCAAATATGATTATTGGATCTTTAAAAGAGAATAAAATCTCCCAATTAAAGATTTGACTATGTATTTGAATTTTCCTTGATTTAAGTAAAAAACAATGTCCCTTGATTTGATATGGTTATCCATTAAAAGATGATGAAATCTCACTATTAAAGATTTGAGTTTTAAAAATGTTTCTCTTTGGTTTTAGAAAAAGGTNCAGGCAATTCTGGGCAAAACCTACCGGTAGAACTTAAACCTACTGGTAGAACTTTTCTAGTGGACAAAACCTACCAGTAGCTTTTCCAAAAATCTGATATTTTAATAAAACTTTTCCAGTGGATCAAACCTACCGCTAGGTTCATGCAAACCTACCGATAGATCTTTCAAAAATCTGAAATTTTAAAAGTGCTTTGACAAATTTTTGGGCTATGCGTTCCCTCATTTAAAAAGTGTAAATAGACTCTATTGGGGTATAACTTGAGGTATATTGGACCTCGGATGGTTCAATTGAATTAAAAGTATAAAGGTTGTGGGTTTTTGTCATCCCGACAAAGGGGATGTGATATTGTGGTGTCGGGTTAAGCGGCATCTACGGGTGTTTCTACTGGTTGATGGGTGATCAACAGTTTGACAAAGGACCCTGATTTTAAGGGCATCATAGTACTGGCTTTCATGATCAGCATATTGGCTTTCTCCGTCTTCATTCTCTTGCACAGGTAAGTGTGAAGGGGGCACACGTAAGCTCCCTGCGCACTGAAGCGGAGCTGCTAGGTGAAGGGCCCCATGGGCTACCTGGCGCCTAGAAGGGATGGGTTGCTACTCTTCTCCGGTTGGAGGGAGTGGTACTCCTCCTACAGGGTGAGGGGCGATGCCTCCCTTGGCGGGCATCAGTTGAATGATCTGCTAATTTTCTTTTACTAGCAGTTGCATAGTCTATAAGAGTTGTTGTTGTTGTCCAATCATAGTAACAGATGGTTTCAATGGTGCAAGGGGAGGTAGAGCCTCTTCCTGGTGAGTCGGGTTTTTGTCCTCCGGTTGTTGACTCATCAATCTGGTAGTGGCCTTGGAGCATTCTGGCCAAGGGCCCCATGGTTAGGGGCTTCCTAACACCCAGAAGGAATGGGTTGCTGCTTCTCTCTTGTTGGAGCGAGTGGTACTCCTCCTATAGGGTGAGGGGCAGCGACTCCCTGGGCGAGCATCAATTGAATGATCTGTTGATTTTATTTTACCAGCGGTTGCATAGTCTGTAAGAGTTGTTGCTGTTGTCCAGTCGTAGTAGCAGATGGTTCCGAGGGTGCAAGGGGAGGTGGAGCCTCCTCCCGATGAGCTGAGTTGTTGTCTCTTGACTGTTGACTCATTAATCTGGTAATGATTGCCATGGATTGAAAGAAAGTAGGAAACTAGTTGTTTCCCACAGACGACGGCAAACTAATGATGAACAAATCAGTATTGCACAAAATAAATAGTCAAGGATGTGTACGGATGCAATCAATAAGCAGTAAACAATCAATTAATAATAAAGCTGTAAATAAAGAAACAACACAGTGATTTACAGTGGTTCGTTCCAGGTGACCTACTCCACTCTCGGGAACGGCAACGATGATGTGAGTCTTCTATTAATGAATGAAATTGTCGGAGAGAGTATTCTCCAGGAGTATTACAATGCTTTTAGGGAAGAGAGAGAGAGAGAGTGCAATGTGTGTAGGGAAGTGTAGTATGTGTAGGGATCTCATGGTGTAGAGACCTCAAAAGGTGATGTGATGATGTCTCTCCTTGTGGAGAGAGCTTGCATTATATAGGTTTACAAAGGCAGTGAGGCGGTGACGTGAGAGAGAGGCCTTCCACTATTTTGGTAGGTACAATTATGGCAAGATTAGATCTCTGCATCCCGATATTCTTTCCCTCGTGTTCCTATTCCGTTGAAAGAAGATCCTAAGTTTCGATGGAGTTGAGTTGGAGAGACCAAGTGAGGAGAGAGACCATTGAGGCGATACTCATATGAGAAGGGAAGAGCATGGCATGGAGGAGAGCAGGGGTCCCCTTGGGGTGCCCCCTTGGGCAGCACCCCATGGGGTCTTCTTCGAGCACTGGTCTCTTGGTCTTCCTTTGGGACTGTTGTCTTGGGCTCCTTATGGGCTTGATGACTTGGGCTTCAAGACGATGTGGGCCTCTCTTGATTCGTTGGGTCTGGCCCAGTTAACTTCAGTTTCATCAAATATGATTATTGGATCTTTAAAAGAGAATAAAATCTCCCAATTAAAGATTTGACTATGTATTTGAATTTTCCTTGATTTAAGTAAAAAACAATGTCCCTTGATTTGATATGGTTATCCATTAAAAGATGATGAAATCTCACTATTAAAGATTTGAGTTTTAAAAATGTTTCTCTTTGGTTTTAGAAAAAGGTTTTTTTTTTTATTTATTTGGTATGGGTATGAGTCTAGTATTGAAAAATATTTTAGATAATTTTTATCTAAATTTAAATTTAAGTATAAAAAAGGTAAAGATGGGAAATGTTTTATTGAAATTTTTTTTTTAAGAAATTTTTGTCTAAATTTTAATTTGAGCTTAAAAACAGTAAGATCGGGGAGATTAAGTCGGTTTCTTAATTTGGTTTTTATGTTTTGAAGATACAAGTGCCTTTTTTCACTCTCTCTTCCGTCTTTATGAAATGGCTTCTACGACACCCTACGGCTCAATCTGAGCACCCCAAGAAGAACACAATACATCCACAACCATCAATTCGTCTTCATCATCTTCAACAGTCCGATTCGGCAATCTTGAAGCCCTCAAACACGTTCAAAAACTCACTGATCTAGGAGCCATAACTCGTCTCCTCCACAAATGCATTGCCTGCCAATGGGCCCTGGATCTTGAACTGGACACCATTCTCTCCCAATGCACTGATCTCGACAAACAACTCTCCAACCTCCACAATCCATCGAGCTCCTTGAGATCATCAAGGACGATTTCGACCACCTGCTCTCCAATGTCCACTCCACATGCGATCTCGCCGATCTGGTCAGCGAAGAAGTCCACCAACTTGATTTGCTCAGTCCCGTGTCAATGACACTCTTCTCCGCATCGACGCCATCATAGAGAGAGGTAATTGCATTGATGGCGCTGAGAAAGCTCTCCAAATTGAAGATTTTGAATCGACTGTTAAATACATCCAGACCTTCCTCCAGATCGATGCCAAATACAGAGATTCTGGTTCGGATCAGAGAGAACTGTATCTAGCATCGAAGAAACAGCTAGAAGGAATTGTCAGGAAGAGGTTATCGGCTGCTGTGGGTTAGCGGGACCACCCGGTGATCCTTCAGTTCATTAGATTATACTCTCCTTTCGGTTTGGAGGAAGAAGGATTGCAAGTGTACATAAGTTATTTGAAGAAATCAATTTCGATGAGATCTAGGTTTGAATTCGAGCAATTGGTNATACTCTCCTCTCGGTTTGGAGTAAGAAGGATTGCAAGTGTACATAAGTTATTTGAAGAAAGTAATTTCGATGAGATCTAGGTTTGAATTCGAGCAGGAATCAATCTAGCAACAGCAATCCTCTGCCGCTGCTACTAAATCAAAATCAAGTGAACTTTGTTGCTTGTTTGAAGAATTTGTTCAAAGACATTGTGTTAGCCATAGAAGAAAATAATGAGATTTTGAGGAGTAATCTATATGGTGAAGCTGGAATTGTGTATGCCATATGTGAGCTCCAAGATGAGTGTGATTCTCGGGGTTCCTTAATTTTAAAGAAATACATGGAATATCAAAAATTGGTTAAGTTGACATTCGAAATTAATACTTCCAAGGGTAACTTACTTTCTGTTGGAGTCCAAGGACCTGAACCAAGGGATATCGAATTGTATTTGGAAGAGATTTTGCAATTGAAACAGTTGGGTAAGGACTACACTAATTATATAGTGTCCAAGATAAGGGGTTTGAGTTCAGTTGATCAGGAATTGCTTCCCCGAGCAACCAGAGCTTTTAGGAGTGGAAATTTCAGTAAATTTGTTCAGGACATTACATGTTAATATGTGATTTTGGAGGGGTTCTTCATGGTGAAAAATGTGAGGAAGGCTATTAGCATTGATGAGCATGTACTTGATAGCCTCACAACGTCCTTGGTGGACGACGTGTTCTATGTTCTAGAGAGTTGCTTCAGGAGGTCGATATCCACTTATAATATTAACTCAGTGATTGCAGTACTGAGCAGTGTTGTGAGTTTGTTGGGTGGCGAGTATAATGAAGCGTTGCAATAGAAAATGAGGGAGCCTAACCTTGGAGCGAAGCTACTCATAAGTGGTGCTAGTGTGCAAAAGACTGGGACTGAGATTGCGACGGCTTTAAATAACATGGATGTCAGTAGCGATTATGCACTGAAACTACAACATGAGATTGAAGAACAATGTTCAGAGGTCAGTGGCAATCATACTTCTCTTTTGGTTATTTCTTTTCAATCCCTATCTTTCTTAAGGAATTTTTGTTTTAGCTCTTTGTCTGGGCAAAGCTTTGCATTCAAAGTTTCATTCCTTAAAGGAGTATACTAAAATTGCTAGTTCATACATAACACAATGTGATCTTGGCTTGCTTCTCTTTCCATATACAAATTTTATTTAATAGAACATAGACCATTCTCATTTATGGTAATATTTTAGGGACCATGTTTAGCGTGGGTACTAAATTAAGTCCCAACATCAATTTGAAAAAAGTGCCACATGTTATATTTCTGGATAGGAACTTTTAGGTGCTCAAATGCTACAGTTTGAACCATGCACAATGTGATGAGGCTAAGTTAACCGAGTTAGCCCATTTCGCCGATGATTATGTGGCACAAACATGGCCAAAGTGAGGAGGTTTGAGAATGGTCTGAAAATATCCATTCGGGGAAAGATTGTGGGCCTCCGCTACAAGATTTGGATTCGATGGTCGAGACTACAATAGTCATTGAACGAGAGGTGGACGATGCGAGGAACATTTGGGAGGCTAGAAATAAGGATAGGAAGAAAGAGGGCGAATCCTCTTCCTCTAGTTCGGGGAAGAGGTTGAAGACTTCTACTCCCCAAGTACATCAAAGACAGGGTCACGGTTACCAAGGCCAAGGTCAATCCTCCCAAGGCGGGAGACACCCTCCCAAGGCGGGAGACACTTTAGGGCTTCCAGCCAAGCAGGCTCACCTGTGTGTTTCTATTGCCACCAACTGGGGCATATGAAGCGGGATTGTCCTTAGAAATAAGGATCCCAAAGCTGTGGGTCATCTCAGTCCTAATCATCAGTAGGGCAGCCACAGACACACTACGTTCCTTCCTACCTCGCCATGGATCAGGGAAGCTAGTTCTAGTTCCAGGGTGCTACTCCGGCCCCTACCATTTCATGAGCAGGGAATTCGCAATCAAGCCAGATGGGCCAGGGCATGGGTCGAGGCCGAGGACAGGGTATGCAAGTCGAGACTTCGGGGATCTAGGGACATGTCTAGGCCACCATACCTCAAATTAAGCCAGCAAATCAGTCTGTTGTACAGGGTACATTTCTTCTCTCTCGCTTATAGGCTAGGGTATTATTTGACTCTGGTGCATCGCATTCATTCATTTATGCATCTTACGTGAGAGATTTGGGCTTAGAGGTTGAGACTTTAAAGGAACCAATATACGTGAGTTCTGCCCTAGGAGCTAGGGTGAATGTTGATCAGATATGTCAGGGTTGTGAGTTAGAGATCTCAGGGATTCTACTCACCGTGGGCCTCAGAGTCATGGACATGTCGGAGTTTGATACCATCCTTGGGATGGACTGGTTGACGGCACACCGAGTTGTCATTGATTATGACAGGAAAAGGGTCACTACTTATACACTTAATGGTGTTTGTTTCAAGTTCCAAAGGGAAAAACACGATGCCTTACGCCAAGTCGTGTACGACTCTAGATGGCACCAGCAGTTGATGGGTTGGCTTGCGAGCCTTATCTTGGAGGACGAGGTGAGACAGGAGTTGGGTCTATCTCGAGTTATTTGTGAGTATGAGTATGTTTTTCCAGACGAGCTACCAGGATTACTTCCCCATAGGGATGTGGACTTCAACATTAAATTACATCCTAGTACTTCTCCTATTTCTATGATTCCGCATAGAATGGCACCTACCGAGTTGTAAGAACTCAAAGTCCAATTGCAAGAATTGTTGGAGAAGGGTTTTATCAGACCAAGCACTTCACCTTGTGGCACTTTGATATTGTTTACCAAGAAAAAAGACAAGACTCTTCGGCTATGTATAGACAATCAGTAGTTGAATCAAGTTACTATCAAGAATAGGTACCCTTTGTCAAGGATTGATGATCTGTTTGATCAGCTGAGGGGAGCGCAGGTCTACTCCAAGATAGATCTTCGCACAGGCTATCATTAGTCGAGGATTAAGGAGGCAGACATCGCTAAGACATCGTCAAAATGCGGTACGAGTATTTCGAGTTCACAGTGATGCTATTCGAATTGATGAATGCCTCGACGGCATTCATGGATCTCATGCATAAGGTGTTCCAACCCTATTTAGATCAGTTCGTCATGGTGTTTGTAGACGACATCCTAATCTACTCCAAGTTTAAGGAAGAGCATAAGGGTCACTTGAGAATTGTTCTGTAGACCTTGAAGGACCATCAGTTGTATGCCAAGTTCAGCAAATACAAGTTTTGGCTTACGAAGGTGATGTTTTTGGGACATGTGGTGTCGGCTTCAGGGGTATCTGTGGAATGGGAGAAGGTTGAGGCAGTAATGAATTGTGAAAGGCCAAAGTTAGTCTTCGAGATACACAATTTTTTTGGATTGGCGGGGTATTACAGGAGGTTCAACTAGGATTTCTCCCGATTAACTGCCCCTATGACGAGATTGACCTGAAAAGAGATCAAGTTTGAGTGAAATGATTCATGTGAGAAGGCATTCCAAGAGTTAAAGAGAAGGCTAACTTCGGCTCCTATTTTGATAGTCCCAAAGAAAGAATAGATGTACACAGTTTACTGTGATGCCTCTAAAGATAAACTTGGTTATGTTTTGATGCAATCTGGGAGGGTAGTGGCTTTTGATTCTCGACAATTAAAGAACCACGAGCAGAATTACCCTACACGCGACATGGAGTTGGCAGCCATTGTCTTTGCTTTGAAGGCTTGACGCCACTATTTGTATGGTGAAAAGTTAGAGGTGTTATCAAACCACAAAAGTCTGAAGTATATCTTTACTCAATAGGACCTCAACATGAGGCAGCATAGGTGGATGAAGTACTTGGAAGATTATGACTTCACTTTGTATTACCATCCCGGTAAGGCGAATGTGGTGGCTGATGGCCTCAGCCTGAAGTCACGGGGAGTCTTGACTTGTGTGGCTTCTCGGGAGTGGCAGATGCTCGACACTATAGGACAGTTCTGGCTACACTATAAGGGTCAGGCAAAGGGCACTTTGGGGAGCTTAGTGGCAACGCTTTCCCTACTGAGCAGGGTGATTGAGTCCTAGAGGTGGGACACTGAGTTATCATCCATCAAGGACTGGGTACAGGTAGGTACAGGTGATAAGGGCTAGGCCATTCATGCGGATGGAAGTCTTCAGAATAGGGGAAGGGTTGTGGTTCCCCAGTCAACGGATCTGAGAGAGGAGTTCCTTAGGAAGTTCCATTGCTCCCATTTTGTGGTTCATCCAGGTGGCACGAAGATGTTTCATGATCTTCGTCGCTGGTATTATTGGAGTGGGATGACGAGGCAGGTTGGCGACTTCATCAGTAGATGTCTCACGTGTTAGTAGGTTAAGGATGAACACTAGAGATCACCAGGTTTGCTCCAGCCATTGGAAGTGGCTGAGTAGAAGTGAAAGCACGTCACGATGGATTTTGTGACACACTTGCCACAGACATCACAGGGGCATGATACGGTATGGGTGATAGTGGACTGGCTAGAGGAGTTCTGCAGGTTATATATACAAGAGATAGTTCGATTGCATGAGGTGCCCATATCTATAGTATCGAACTGGGACCCCAGGTTTATGGCTCATTTTTGGGAGAGGTTCTAGTGAGCCTTAGGGACACAGTTGACAATGAGTATGGCTTTTAATCCCCAAACAAATGGTCAGTCAGAGAGAACCATCCAGAATCTAGCAGACATGTTGCGAGCATGTTTCCTAGACCTCAAGGGGAGCTAGAAAGAGCATGTACCCTTAGTGAAATTCGCCTACATCAATAGTTATCCGGCGAGCATATAGATGGTACCCTATGAGGCACTATATGGGAGGCCTTGTCGTTCTCCAGTGTGTTGGATGGAGGTTGGAGAAAGACCCTCTACAGGTCTGGATTTGGTTAAAGACACCTCGGAGAAGGTGGACTTGATACGAAAGCGTCTTCTTACGGCTCAGAGCCGGCAAAAGAGTTATGCTGACAGACAACAACGATCTCTGAAGTTTGAGGTGGGAGATCATGTCTTCTTGAAAGTGATGCCTAAGAAAGAAGTGGTCAGGTTCGGGAAACAGAAAAAGCTGTCGCCGAGGTTATCGGGCCCTTCAAGGTACTCGAGAGGGTGGGTACAGTGGCTTACAGGTTGGCATTACTGCCAAATTGATCAGGTGTTCATGCGGTGTTTCATGTCTCTATGCTCTGAAAATATACTCCAGATCCAACGTATGTAGTGGATTGGGGTGAGTTGATTGTTGATGCGAATGGGACCTTTGAGGATGGACCGGTGTGTATCATGGATAACCAGAAGTAGGTTTGACGAGGCAAGACTGTGAGGCATGTGAAGGTGTTGTGGCAGCACCGAGGTGTAGAGGAGGCGACATGGGAGCATGAGGACACCATACGTACCAATTATCCGTTCTTGTTTAAGGATGGAGGTACATGTTTACAATTTTAAGTATAGTATTACTATTGCATATCCATATCATTATCTGTGCATGTATGTTTGAATTTCGGGGACGAATTTCTTCTAAGGGGAAAAAATGAAAAAACCCCAGTAAATTTGAACTTTTTATAAAAAAAGGCAAAACGATAATTTATCACTATAGTTTGGGCTGAAATCCTGAATTTTTATAGATCTCAGGTGACAAAACGGACCTCACCGTTGGATTCGTCTCACGAAATCTAGCTACCACGTCAATTTTTATCAAATTCTGAAATAGTCAGATTTCTTACGTTTTACGAGGTGATCGGGCCTCGGGTGACCCAAAGACGAATTTTTGAATAAAATTTTGAAAGCTGGAAAATAAATTAAGGCAAGTTAAAATAAAAATATTTTGAACTTGAGTCGAGACAAAATTTAATCATTTCAGGGCGAAAATAAACCCAAGAAAAGGGGGTTGTGTGGGGCATTGTGAACCAAGTATTTAGAGAGTATAAAAAGGGAAGAAATATCATATTTCTCCCCATTTTCCAGCCCGTTCCAACATGAGAAAGAAGTAAGGGAAAAAGGATTGGGTTTTTCACCTTCTCTTTACGATCTACAGAGATTTATTGCTCGAATCAACTCAAGCTAAAAACACATATTGTTCTGCGCAGCGAGGGCTACAAAACCATACCAAGAAGAACGGATTTCACCGAAGTTCCAAGAATGAGCATGGAGAAATCAGGGATTTTGGGTGAGATTGGGGGTCTTGAATGCTTCTACCAAGTGAGTTTATGCTTCAAGATGTAGGATTCCCTCTTACATAGGTTTATTTCCAATCTAGGAGTTTTATACGCAATGGGTAGGTTGATAGAGTTATATATATCACTTGCCTATTGTGGCGAAATGGGTATTGAAAATGGGTAGAATAAATTCTATCTTAAATTGGGTATGTAGAAATTACTTAGTGAAATTTCTTGAGAAATGTGAAAATTACTAATTTGTAGTTTCATAGTAAGAATGTTATTATGGACATGTTATGTGTTTATTGTATGTCTTGTTGAACTTAGTGAAATTGTTGTTGTGTATGATGTTAACATACACTTTATGATATGTTACCATTATGATGAATTGTAAAAATTATATGCTCTTGATATAATTGATAATAGAATGGTGAAATTGCTCAATTTGCATTCATCGCATATTGGACACGATGTTGACATCACATTCATGGGCATTGGGCATGAGTGTGGGTGTGTGTGTGCAAGGTTCAATCAAACACCATACTTGGTGGATGATGGCTGAGTTCAGGAAAATTTGGAATGAAGTTCTAATTGAGTCGCACGGTTGCATGAAAAAACTTGTGTTGGGTAAAGCAAAAAGAGCTAAACTCTCCCTCGGGTGCAAGACCCGGATACTGGTTTATACACTTCCATCGATGCAAGTCCAAAAAAGTGTATCGGTGTGCGGAGCCGGCGGTACGACACCAAAATTCCACTATCCAACAAAGACACATGATTTTGTTTATATAAAATTGTCATTCGGTGTGTAACAACAATGACGGGGGCTTGGAAGTGCCTATTTTTCATACACTGGCGTTGCATTATGTGATGGGAGCTGGTGAGGGCGCGGGTTAGAGTGTATGAGTGAGTTTCATCTCGTATCATGGCATGACTTGGTATATTCCAAAATTGAATGCATGTTCTTATTTGGAATGTTGTGGATTGTTGAATGTTGCATGTAGACCATTTATATGCACTTAGGTTGGGGAGTAGCTTCTTTAGGAGATACCCTAATGAGCGTGGCTCACCCTTTATGGGACAACAATTTCAGGTGCGGGGTTTACACTGGCAAACAACTCCCATTTCGAGCCTCGAGGATGAAGAAAGCTAACTTGTGGCTTTTATTGCTCATTTTGTAAAACCTTTATGAAAATTCCATTTTGATGTGTAAATATATGGAATTGTATGTAATATAACTTGTAAGTATCATGTTTATGTGAAAAAAACTCTATTAAACTTGAATTAGATGGTTGTGGAATGGATTGGGTTGGTTTGGAAATGAAACGCAAGTGAAATAGGCAATTTTGGGCAAAACCTACCGGTAGAACTTAAACCTACTAGTAGAACTTTTCCAGTAGACAAAACCTACAGATAGGTCCATAAAAACCTACCGGTAGCTTTTCCAAAAATTTGATATTTTAATAGAACTTTTCCAGTGGATCAAACCTACCGCTAGGTTCATGCAAACCTACCAGTAGATCTTTCAAAAATCTAAACTTTTAAAAGTGCTTTGACATGTTTTTGGGCTATGCATTCCCTCATTTCAAAAGGTGTAAATGGACCCTATTGGAGTATAACTTGAGGTATATTGGACGTTGGATGGTTCAATTGAATTCAAAGTATAAAGGCTGTGGGTTTTTGTCATCCTGGTAAAGAGGATATGATATCTTGGTGTCGGGTTAAGTGGCATCCACGAGGGTTTCTACGAGTTGATGGATGATCAACAGTTTGACTCCCGATTTTAGGGGCATCATAGTACTAGCTTTCATGATCACCATATTGGCTTTCTTCGTCTTCATTCTCTTGCGCAAGTACGTGTGAAGAGGGTACACGTGAGCTCCTTGGGTGCTGAAGCTGGGCTACTAGGCGAGGGGAGCCCCGATGTGGCCTTGGAGCATTATGACAAGGGGACCCATGGGCTGCCTGACGCTTAGAAGGGATGGGTTGCTACTCCTCTCCTGTTGGAGGGAGTGGTACTCCTCTTACAGGGTGAAGGGCGGCGCCTCCCTTGGCAAGCATCAGTTGAATGATCTGCTAATTTTGTTTTACCAGTAGTTGCATAGTTTGTAAGAGCTGTTGCTGTTGTCCATTCGTAGTAGCAAATGGTTCTGAGGGTGCAAGGGGAGGTGGAGCCTCCTCCTAGTGAGTTGGGTTGTTGTCTCCCGATTGTTGACTCATCGATCTGGTAGTGGCCTTGGAGCATTCTGACCAGGGGCCCCATTGTTAGGCGCTGCTTGGCATCTAGAAGGAATGGGTTGCTGCTCCTTTCCTGTTGGAGGGAATGGTACTCGTCCTACAGGGTGAGGGACGACGCCTCCCTGTGCGAGCATCAGTTGAATGATCTGCTGGTTTTGTTTTACCAGCGATTGCTGTTGTCCAGTCACAATAGCAGATGGTTTCGAGGGTGCAAGGGGAGATGGAGCCTCCTCTTGGTGAGCCGGGTTGTTGTCTCCCAGTTGTTGACTCATCATTCTGGTAGTGATTACCATGGATTGAAAGAGAGTCGGAAATTAGTCGTTTCCCACAAACGGCGACATACTAATGATGCACAAATCGGTATTGCGCAAAATCAACAGTCAAGGATGTGTACGGATGCAATCAATAAGCAGTAAACAATCAATTAATAACAAAGCTGTAAACAAAGAAACAATACAATGATTTACAGTGATTCGTTCCGAGTGACCTACTCCACTCTCGAGAACAGAAGCGATAACGTGAGTCTTTTATTAATGAATGAAATTGCCAGAGAGAGTATTCTCCAGGAGTATTACATTGCTTTTGGGGGAGAGAGGGAGAGTACAATGTGTGTAGGGAAGTGTAGTATGTGTAGAGATCTCAAGGTGTAGAGGCCTCAAAAGGTGATGTGAAGATGTCTCTCCTTGTGGAGAGAGCTTGCATTATATAGGTTTACAAAGGCGGTGAGGCGGTGACGTGAAGGAAAGGTCTTCCACTATTTTGGTAAGTACAGTTATGGCAGGATTAGATCTCCGTGTCCCGATATTTTTTTCCTCGTGTTCCTATTCCGTCGGAGGAAGATCCTAAGTTTGGTTGGAGTTGAGTTGGAGAGACCAAGTGAGGAGAGAGACCATTAAGGCGATACTCATATGAGAAGGGAAGAGCATGGCATGGAGGAGAGCAGGGGTGCCCCCTTGGGCGGCGCCCCTTGGGATCTTCTTCGAGCACTGGTCTCTTGGTCTCCCTTTGGGACTGGTGTCCTAGGCTCCTTCTTGACTTGATGACTTGGGCTTCAAGATGACGTGGGTTTCTCTTGATTCGTTAGGTCTGGCCCAGTTAGCTTCAGGTTCATCAAATATGATTATTGGATCTTTAAAAGAGAATAAAATCTCTCAATTAAAGATTTGAGTATGTATTTGAATTTTCCTTGATTTGAGTAAAAAAAAATATTCCTTGATTTGATATGGATATCTATTAAAAGATGATGAAATCTCACCATTAAAAATTTGAGCTTTAAAAATGTTTCTCTTTGGGTTTAAGAAAAGGTTTTTTTTTATTTATTTGGTATGGGTATGAGTCTAGTATTGAAAAATATTTTAAATAATTTTTATCTAAATTTATATTTAAGTATAAAAAGGTAAAGATGGGAAATGTTTTATTGAAAATTTTTTTTAAAGAATTTTTTGTCGAAATTTTAATTTGAGCTCAAAAACTGTAAGATCGGGCAGATTAAGTCAATTTCTCAATTTGATTTTTAAGTTTTGAAGATACGAGTGTCTTTCTTCGTTCTCTCTTCTGTCTTTATGAAATGGCTTCCACGACACCCTACGGCTCAATCTCAGCACCCCAAGAAGAACACGATACCTCCACAGCCATCAATTCATCTTCATCCTCTTCAACAGTTCGATTCGGCACTCCTGAAGCCCTCGAACACGTTCAAAAACTCACCGATGTAGGAGCCATGACTCGTCTCCTCCACGAATGCATTGCCTACCAATGAGCCCAGGATCTTGAACTGGACACCATTCTTTCCCAACGCTCCGATCTCGACAAACAACTCTCCAACCTCCACAAATCCACCGAGCACCTTGAGATCGTCAAGGCCGATTCTGACCACATGCTCTCCAACGTCCGCTCCATATGCGATCTTGTCGATTAGGTCAGCGGCAAAGTCCGCCAACTTGATCTTGCTCAGTCCCGCGTCAATGACACTCTTCTCCGCACTGACGCCATCATAAAGAGAGGTAATTGCATTGATGGCGTTATGAAAGCTCTCCAAACTGAAGATTTTGAATCAGCTGTTAAATACTTCCAGACCTTCCTCCAGATCGATGCCAAATACAGAGATTCTAGTTTGAATTAGAGAGAACTGTTGCTAGCATCAAAGCATCAGCTAGAAGGAATTTTCAGGAAGAGGTTATCGACTGTTGTGGATCAACGGGACCACCTAGCGATCCTTCGGTTCATTAGAGTATACTCTCCTCTCGGTTTGGAGTAAGAAGGATTGCAAGTGTACATAAGTTATTTGAAGAAAGTAATTTCGATGAGATCTAGGTTTGAATTCGAGCAGGAATCAATCTAGCAACAGCAATCCTCTGCCGCTGCTACTAAATCAAAATCAAGTGAACTTTGTTGCTTGTTTGAAGAATTTGTTCAAAGACATTGTGTTAGCCATAGAAGAAAATAATGAGATTTTGAGGAGTAATCTATATGGTGAAGCTGGAATTGTGTATGCCATATGTGAGCTCCAAGATGAGTGTGATTCTCGGGGTTCCTTAATTTTAAAGAAATACATGGAATATCAAAAATTGGTTAAGTTGACATTCGAAATTAATACTTCCAAGGGTAACTTACTTTCTGTTGGAGTCCAAGGACCTGAACCAAGGGATATCGAATTGTATTTGGAAGAGATTTTGCAATTGAAACAGTTGGGTAAGGACTACACTAATTATATAGTGTCCAAGATAAGAGGTTTGAGTTCAGTTGATCCAGAAATGCTTCCCCGAGCAACCAGAGCTTTTAGGAGCAAAAATTTCAGTAAAGTTGTTCAGGACATTACTGGTTATTATGTGATTTTAGAGGGCTTCTTTATGGTGGAAAATGTGAGGAACGCTAATAGCAATGATGAGCATGTACTTGACAGCCTCACAACGTCCATGGTGGACAACGTGTTCTATGTTCTGCAGAGTTGATGCAGGAGGTCAATATCCACTTCTAATATTAACTGAGTGATTGCGGTACTGAGCAATGCTGTGAGTCTGATGGGTGGCAACTATAATGAAGCGTTGCAGCATAAAATGAGGGAGCCTAACCTTGGAGCGAAGCTACTCATGGGTGGTGCTGGTGTGCAAAAGACTAGGATAGAGATTGCGACAGCTTTAAATAACATGGATGTCAGTAGCGATTATGCACTGAAAGTACGACTTGAGATTGAAGAACAATGTTCAGAGGTTAGTGGCAATTGTACTTCTCTTTTGGTTATTTCTATTCAATCCCCATCTTTCTTAAGGATTTTTTTGTTTTGGCTCTTTGTCTAGGCAGAGCTTTACATTCAAAGTTTCATTTCTTAAAGGAGTATACTAAAATTGCTAGTTCATACATAACACAATGTGGCCTTGGCTTGCTTCTCTTTCCATATACAAATTTTATTTAATGGAACATAGACCTCTCTCATTTTAGGTAATATTTTAGGGACCATGTTTAGCTTGGGTACTAAATTAAGTCCCAACATCAATTTGAAAACAGTGCCACATGTTATATTTCTTGATAGGAACTTTTAGGTGCTCAATTCCTACAATTTGAACCATGTACAACATGATGAGGCTATGTTCACCGGGTTGGCCCGTTTCGCCAATGATTACATGGCCACAGACATGACCAAAGTGAGGAGGTTTGAGGATGGTTTGAAACTATCCATTCGGGAAAAGATTGTGGGCCACTGCCTACAAGATTTGGAATCGATGGTTGAGGCTGCAATGGCCATTGAACAAAAGGTGGACGATGCGAGGAACATTTGGGAGGCTTGGAAATAAGTATAGGAAGAAGGAGGGCCAATCATCTTCTTCTAGTTTAGGGAAGAGGTAGAGGACTTCCCCAAGGACATCAAGGACAGGGCCGTGGCTACCAAGGCCAAGGCCAAGGTCAATCCTCCCAAGGCAGGAGACACTTCAAGGCTTATAGCCAAGCAAGCTCACGGGCGTGTTTCTTTTGCCACCAACTGGGACATATGAAGCGGGATTGTCCTCAAAGGCAAGGATACTACAGCTATGGGATATCTCAGTCCCAATCATCAATGGGGCAGCCACAAACACACTACTTTCCTCCCCACCCCACCCCACCATGGGCTAGGGAAGCCAGTACCAGTAATAGTGTGCTACTTAAGCCCCTATAATTTCATGATTGGGGACTCCGCAATCAGGCCAAATGTGTCAGGGCATAGGTCGAGGCCGAGACTTCGGGGACCCATGGGCGTGTCTACGCCATCATACCTCGGATTAAGCCAACAGATCAGTCTGTTATTCAGGGTATATTTCTTCTCTCTCGCTTATAGGCTAGGGTATTATTTGACTCTGGTGTATCACATTCATTCATTTATGCATCTTGCGTGAGAGATTTGGGCTTAGAGGTTGAGACTTTGGAGGAGGCAGTATACGTTAGTTCTCCCCTAAGAGTTAGGGTGACTGTTGATCAGATATGTCAAGGTTGTGAGTTAGAGATCTCAAAGATTTTACTCACCGTGGACCTCAGAGTCATGGACATGTCGAAGTTTGATGCCATCTTTGGGATGGAGTGGTTGACGGCACACCGAGTTGTCATTGATTGTGATCGAAAGAGGGTCACTACTTATATGCCTAATGGTGTTTGTTTTAAGTTCTAAGGGAAAAGCACGATGCCTTACTCCAAGTCGTATACGACTCTAGATGACACGAGCAGTTGATGGGTTGGCTTGCTAGCCTTACCTTAGAGGACGAGGTGAGACATGAGTTGGATCTACCTTGGATTGTTTGTGAGTATGAGGATATTTTTCTAGACGAGCTTTCGGGATTACTTCCCCATAGGGATGTGGACTTCAGCATTAAGTTACATCCTGATACTTCTCCTATTTCAATGACTCCGCATAGAATGGCACCTACCGAGTTATAAGAACTCAAAGTCCAATTGTAAGAATTGTTGGACAAGGGTTTTATCAAACCAAGCACTTCACCTTGGGATGCTCCAATATTGTTTACCAAGAAGAAAGATAAGACTATTCAGCTATGTATAGACTACCAGCAGTTAAATCAGGTTACTATCAAGAATAGATACCCTTTGCCGAGGATTGATGATCTGTTTGATTAGCTGAGGGGAGTGCGAGTCTACTCCAAGATAGATCTCCGCACGGGCTACCATCAGTCAAGGATTAGGGAGGCGGACATCCCTAAGACAACGTTTAGAATGCGGTACGAGCATTTTGAGTTCACAGTGATGCCATTCGGATTGACGAATGCGCCAACGGCATTCATGGATCTCATGCATAGGGTGTTCCAACCCTATTTAGATCAGTTCGTTGTGGTGTTTGTAGATGGCATCCTAATCTACTCCAAGTCTGATAAGGAGCATAAGGGTCACTTGAGGATTGTTCTCCTGATCTTGAGGGACCATCAGTTGTACACCAAGTTTAGCAAATGCAAATTTTGGCTTACGGAGGTGAATTTTTTGGGACATGTGGTGTCGGCTTCGGAGGTATCCTTAGACCCGGAGAAGGTTGATTCGGTAATAAATTGGAAGAGGCCGAAGTCAGTCTTCGAGATACATAATTTCTTGGGATTTATGGGGTATTACAGGAGGTTCATCTATGATTTTTCCCGATTAGATACCCCTATGACAAGATTAACCTGAAAGGAGGGCAAGTTTGAGTGAAATGATTCATGTGAGAAGTCATTCCAGGAGTTAAAGAGGAGGCTTACTTCGGCTCCTATTTTGATAGTCCCGGAGAGAGGACAAATGTACACAGTTTACTATAATACCTCTAAAGATGGACTTGGTTGTGTTTTGATGCATTCCAAGAGTGTAGTGATTTTTTGTTCTCGACAATTAAAGAACTACGAACAAATTACCCCCACACACGACATGCAGTTAGCAGCCATTGTCTTTGCTTTGAAGGCTTGGCACCACTATTTGTATGGTGAGAAGTTTGAGGTATTTTTGAACCACAAAAGTCTGAAGTACATCTTTACTCAACAGGACCTCAACATGAGGTAGTGCAAGTGGATGGAGTACTTGGAAGATTACAATTTCACATTGTATTACAATCTCGATAAGGCAAACATTGTGGCTCATGCACTCAGCTTGAAGTCACGAGGAGTCTTCATTAGTGTGGCTTTCCAGGAGTGGTAGATGTTTAAGACTGTGGGACAGTTCGGGCTACACTATAGGGGTCAGACACAAGGTACGTTGGGTAGCTTAGTGGCAATGTCTTCCCTACTGAGCAGGGTGATTAAGTCCTAAAGGTGGGACATTGAGTTATCATCCATCAAGGACCGGATACAAGCAGGTACAAGTGATAAGGGTTGTGCCACTCATGCAGATGAAAGTCTTCGGTATAGGGGAAGGGTTGTGGTTCCCAGTCGATGGATCTGAGATAGGAGATCCTTAAGGAGTTCCATTACTCCCATTTTTTTAGTTCATCTAGGTGGCATGAAGATGCATCATGATCTTCATCGCCAATATTATTAAAGTAGGATGAAGAGACAGGTTTGCAACTTCGTCAATAGATGTCTCACATGTCAGTAGGTTAAGGCTTCACACCAGAGACCAGCAGGTTTGCTCCAGCCATTGGAGGTGGCTGAGTAGAAATGGGAGCACGTCACGATGGATTTTGTGACACACTTGCCACGAACGTCACGGGGGCATAATGCGGTGTGGGTGATAGTGGACCAGTTAGAGGAGTTCTGCAGGTTATATAAACGAGAGATAGTCCAATTGCATGGGATGCCCATATCTATAGTATAGAACTGGGACCCTAGGTTTATGGCTCACTTTTGGGAGAGCTTCCAGCGAGCCATAAGGACACAGTTGATGATGAGTACAACTTTTCATCTCCAGACAGACGGTCAGTTGGAGAGGACCATCCAGAATCTAGAGGACATGTTGCTAGCATGTGTCCTGGACCTCAAGGGGAGCTGGAAAGAACATTTATCCTTAGTGGAATTCGCCAACAACAATAGTTATCAGGGGAGCATACATATGGTACCATATGAGGCACTATATGGGAGGCATTGTCGTTCTCTGGTGTGGTGGACAGAGGTTAAAAAGAGACCTTCTACGAGTCCAAATTTGATTAGAGACACCTCGTAGAAGGTGGACTTGATACGAAAGCATCTTCTTACAGCTCAGAGCCGGCAAAAGGGTTATGCCGAGAGATGATGGTGACCATTGTAGTTTGAGGTGAGAGATCACGTCTTCTTAAAAGTGACGTCTAAGAGAGGAGTGGTTAGGTTTGGGAAGTGGGAAAAGTTGTCACCGAGGTTTATTGGGCCTTTTGAGGTACTCGAGAGGGTGGGTATAGTGGCTTATAGGTTGGCGTTATCACCAAATTTATCCGGTGTTCATGTGGTGTTCCATGTCTCTATGCTCTGAAAGTATACTCCGGATTTGACGCATGTAATGGATTGGGGAGAGTTGATTGTTGATGTGGATGGGACCTTTGAGGAGGGACCAGTGCGTATCATGGATAATCGAGAGCAGGTTTTGGGAGTCAAGACCGTGAGGCTAGTGAAGGTGTTGTGGCAACACCGAGGTATGGAGGAGGCGACATGGGAGCGTGATGACACCATACGTACCAATTATCCGTTCTTGTTTGATGTTGGAGGTACATGTTTACAATTTTAAGTATAGTATTACTGTTGCATATGCATATCATTATGTGTGCATGTACATGTGAATTTCGGGGATGAAATTCTTTTAAGGGAAAAAAATGTAAAACCCAGGTAAATTTAAACTTTTTATAAGAAGGGGCAAAATGATAATTTGCCACTATAGTTTGGGTTGAAAACCTGAATCTTTCTAGATCTCAGATGATGAAACGAACCTCACCGTTGGATTCGTCTGGCGAAATATAGCTACCACGTCAATTTTCGTCGAATTCTTAGATAGTCGGATTTTTTGCGTTTTACAAGATAATTGGGTCTCGAGTGACCCAAAGATGAATTTTTGAATAAAATTTTGAAAGTTGGAAAATAAATTAAGGCAAGTTAAAATAAAAATATTTTTGAACTTGAGTCTAGACGAAATTTAATCATTTTAGGGCGAAAACGAACCTGGGAAAAGCGAGTCGTGTGGCGCATTGTGGACCAAGTATTTAGGAAATATAAAAAGGGGAGAAATATCATATTTCTCCCCATTTTTCAGCCGGTTCCAACATGAGAAAGAAGTAAGGGAAAAAGGCTTGGGTTCTCCACCTTCTCTCTACGATCTACAAAGATTCGTTGCTCAAAACAACTCAAGCCAAGAGCAAAGATTATTCTACACGGCGAGGGCTACAAAACCATACCAAGAAGAACGGATTTCACCGAAGTTCTAAGAACAAGAT